AGAGCGTCACTGGAACTATGAAGGCTGTAGTACAGTTATTTCACACAGGCTGTGATTTAGCACCAAATGGAAATTAAAGTTGCTTGGTTGCTCGGAAGGAGGTTTGAAAGCAGCCCGGGGCACCGCTCCGCCAGACGGATGCATTTCCATGTACAAGTCATCGCTGCAGGCTGCAGATTCACAGGAGAGGGTTGTTCAGTACAGGGCCACAAGGACCTTAGGAAGTCCTAGACTTTATCCAGTGCAGTCATTCTTAGTTAGCACAGACATTTTCAATCCACTCACTCCTAGACTGTGATTCTAGGTAGGGTAACATCATAGGATAACAGCTTTGGGAAGCTTCAAGTGTCACTTGCTTGTAGCCAGAAGGTCTCCAAGCTCTCTGTTCAATTTAAGGAAGCTTGGAAGAACCTTGATCTGGGAAGGTTTTGTAATCAAAGTGAGAGCTTGACCAGAAAAAAAAGGATGAAAGTGTCCAAACTATTTATATGTGCTTTTTTTTCTCCAGAAAGGAATTCCTGTAGGACAACATAGGTGAATAAGTCACTTCTAAAATAATAGAAGAGATGGACTCTTGGCTGGATTTGTGGCAGTGGGAGCTCATTCTTACCCAGCTCTCCTGAGGCTAATGTTCAATGCTAACCAAAAAGAGTTTATTTTGTGGACTCTTGGCTCCAGCTGTCTATGAATACACAGCAGGACGCTCTGCCCTGCCCTGCGCCCCAGCTGGCTTCGTTACAGAGACTCTTTTGCCTTTGCAGCTCACATGTTGCAGCCCAGGTGACTTCAATTTGTCTCTTCTTGAGCCGTTTTGCAGCCGAGATGGGCCGGGATAGGGTACCTGGGCAGGGGAAGGGCAGGTAGAGCGGGGAGGAAAGGGGGGGTAAGGAGAGTGCTCAACTGCTCCTGTTCTCGGCCATGCCAGCCAAATCCGTTCCTGGAATCTGGCGTTTTTTGTTTGTTTGTTTCCCCCTCCCTTTTTTTCCCCGCCTCAGTATTTGACTGTTCATCCTGTATTCAGCCCAGCCACGAAACAGAACGTTCTGGCTCTGTGCTCAAGGTTACTGCACACGGATCCATTTCTGGATTCACCGAGCACTGACTTTCAGGATAGAGAGGGGGGAAAACAACACAAACAAACAAACCAACGCAGGCACCGCTCTCGAGGCCCGGGCGTTCCAGCCCTTTCCATGCTCACAGCGCAGAGTCATATCATCCCCAACACGCAGAGCAAGTGGGGTGTAGTTACTTACCTGTTCCCACGTTCTTCTGAGTGAGAACGGCAAAGGTGCTGATGGTGCATTTGGAGAAAAGGGTAACACCATCAATTAATTACGGTTACATGTTGCTCTCACGTAATCTTGCATGGGAGAATTTTTTAATTGAGACTCCTTTGTACTTTATAGCTCTGATATAAAGAGCACAAAGTGGCCGTAAAATCCCCATTGGCATAAAGGCCACTGAAGGGAGAACTGGATCCCGGCACTGAGCCACTATTTTGAGCAGCATGACAGAAACATGAGGAGACATTTGTTTTTCTGTCATTTATGAGGGTTTCTGCAGGCAAACCAGAGCCGAGGGCGCTGTGTTGGGGCAAACCTGCTTTCATTTGTGCTCTTGGCTATGCTGCTAGCAAACACTTTCAGAATCAGGTAGTATAAGCCCCTGTTCCCACTCTGTCTGTCCGTACCAATTTCATCACACATTTGTGAGGCCTTCCTGACATCACATTGCAAGAGATGGTCTGTAGTATTCACTATATTTGAGTAGTGAATAGTGTATATGGTGTGCGTAGCACCCTATGGAGTACACAGGCGCATAGAGTACTCCCTTTCAGAGGCTAAGGAATAATTTTTTGAACCTATGGTATTAGGTAGTATTTTTTGTTAAACATATATATTTTTTTCATCCCCTGCTTCTTATAAAAGTACAAAACTTGAGCTCAGCATCTCTATCTACACTGCATACAAACTGAACAGCTTGGTTGTCTATGACTTTCTCTGCTATGGAAAAGAACTGGGAAATTTGTTGAGGCTTTTCTGAGATCTGATCAAATATTTCACTAATTACATTTCAGTAGTGACAAAGCTGCCAAAAGACTCTTCTTGCTTATTTTAAATCACCATCAGTGTTGTACAAACAGAGTTAGAGGAGTGCATTTGTGTGTGTGGGACTGAACCCAAAGCAAGTGTTTTTTTTTTTCTTTTTTCCAGTGCTTGGCCGTTTTCTGGAGGTTTGGAGCCTTGCATTCTTGCATGCTCTCAGCTATGTCGTGCTCCTGTAAGGTTGCTAGTTGCAAGTGAAACGCAGGAGGAACTAACGGTAGGGCCAGAATTGAAGACAGAAGACCCATGGCCCCTGGGGACAATCCTGGGCCCGGCTGAGCTTTCAAACCACAGGGGCAGAGAGGTTTGACAGGGAGAGGAGCACGTGGTGATTCGTCACCGGTGACGCTCGCGGGCCGGTTTCGCTTCCATCTCCAAGCTTCTCCTCAGGCTGTCGCTTATCACCGAGGTGCTTTGGGACCGATCAACTAAGATCCTTATGCAGAGAGTTTGGACGATGGGAAACACCTTTCTGGGTTGCTGGCTGATTTGGTGTCATTCCGTTAAGTGAAGCTCCGCTCCTGCCGAAACGGGATGAGAGCTGCTGTAGGGCTTGGTGGAGATAGGAGCTCGGGTAGGTTTTGAGAGAGCTCCGTAATCCTGAACCAGTTAAGGGCAGATATACTTCCCAAAGAGGGAGTTAATGTTTTGTTAGGCTCAGGGTTTAAAAGGGCTCTAAAACTTCAAAGTCCTTCCCCTACCAGGTAGTAATATAAAGGCTGCAAGGCCAGATGAGTGCTCTGGAAGTTTGTGTTTCACAAAGGAAAGTAAAGCTGCACAAGAAAGTAGACAAGTGTTTTTAGTTTGTGTGGGTTTTTTTTCCGGATTAAATTCATATTCTTTCTTGGCTTGTGCCTGAGAGAAAAGGTTTGATTTCATTAGGGAGGCTCAGGCTGTGTGTTTAGTTAAAGGTGTATGGGGATGACAACATAAGGCCTCCTTTTCTGTGCATTTGAGAGCCCTTAACACAACCAAAGGTTGTGTTATTTGGTTTGTAGTAACGTTCTTTAAGCGCAAAGGGAAAGGTGTATCGCACAGATGTCATCCTCTGCTTCTGCATTCGCAGTAGATGTGAGCAGTGAGGAGCAGGTCACTGTCAGGTTGTGCATCATGAAGGAGGCGCAGCTTGACCTGAACGATTCCTGCATCCCAAGTGTGACATTTTGTGAACCGCTTTTAGTTCAAGTGACTAAAACAGCTGAGATGAGCAGCCCCCAGCACCCGCTGGGAGCCTGGCGGAGGCTACGTGCCCTGAGCTCACAGGGCCTGCAGTGTTTGCAGTACGACTGAGCAGTAAGTTCTTTTTTAAGGGAGCTGGCAGGCCCAATGACGAAAGAAATGCACCCTGCTTACTGGTTTCTTCACCATGTGTTAAGCTGATGATTAAACAGAATTGAGTAACATCTGTCAACAGATGAGAGTGAAACTTTTGCATGAAGAAATTTTCATGAGTTAAACCCTGGAAAATAAAATGCATGAGATGTATATGACTATTTTTTAACTGTCTTACCTAAGACAATCTGTGTGCATTTTTGAAAATGAGTATATTTGGAATCTCTTGCAAACATAGTTTTGAAAATATTGGGAATCTCTTGCAAACATAGTTGCAAATTTCTACCTTGCTTTAACAAGTCCTATGTCAAATATTGCCGTTCACTTGCCCTGTCATTGACTCGCCGGCGTTGGTCCCCACACAGCTGAGAGGGCTCGAAGCCCTCGCCGGGGAAGGCAGCAAAGGGCAGCGCGAGGATCGCGGCGGGTCGTGTTTGGGCTGCACATCACAGCAGCACGTCAGCATCCGACCTTTGCGCTGCGGGAGGTTCCGCGGCCGGGGGGGCGCAGGGCCGGGCAGGAGGCCGCGTGCCGGGGCTGCTCCGCTTTCTAGCAGCAGCGCGGGAGTGTAGGAGCCCAGGGAGGAGTGAACTAGCAAAAGCAGCTGCTGCTGCCGGGCTGTCCCCCTGCTACGGGACAGGAGACGGGACAGGGAAGCTGCTGAGCACTGGATATTTGGTGCACAGGATTAATGTCACCAGCTGCTGCTGTGAAAAGCTGCATTGCAAATACATTGTGTTTATTTAGTGACTGCTTTTGTGGTTCAGCTTCTCAAAGCAAGATATTTTCTGAACCCTAGGTGCAGCTGTTAGTAAAACTGCTGTTTTATTCACAGCTTTTATTTATTTATCTATGTATTTACTCATTTTTCCTTTTAGATTTAACTTTAGCAAGCTGTCTTTGGAAGATGAAAAAGATGACAAGTCCCAAGAAGGGCTGAATAAAGCGAGCAAGGGTGGACTCGTCTATGGAGACTATCTCCAAGTAAGCGCAAGGCCTTGATTCTCAGTGCCCTGCTCCCCCTTACAGTGTTTTGACCCTTCTCCTCCCCGTGACTACATAGACTTTTGCTAGAAGATCTCTGTTTCCCAGAAGATGACTGGTGAACAGCTGAATATGTCATCTGGAGAATGTGCTGGACAGTTTTCTTTCTTTTTTTTTTTTTTTTTTTTGGTAATTTAAAAAAAAACTTGAAATGATTTTCTGAACTCTACTGCCTGAGGTATCTGAATGTCTCAGTTCTTTTTTATTACTATTATTTTTATTAAAAATAAGCGACCCTTGTGACCATTTAGCCTGACTATTAATATAGGCTGCAATTTAAGGCCTGTACGTTTTTTTTTTTTTTTTTTTTTTGTATAGTATTTCTAATGGCCAACTACTCTGTAGGAATACTGCCACTGATAGCAGAATGGAGAGCATTACTGAATAGCCTTATTTTTATTTTTAAGCTGAACAAAATATTGAACGCTCAAGAACTCCAGAGTGAAAAGAAAGGAAACAAAATCCATGATGAGCATCTTTTTATTGTGACACATCAAGGTAAGTGGCTGCGAGAAGTCAAGGGGGGGTTGGCTGGTGTTCTTGCTAAGGGAAGTAAATTAGTGCTAAAACATGCAATACATAAATCACTCCACTTTAGCCACTACAACCCTCTTACACAAATATAAGCACAGATAAAAGAGTGTTTCCCCTATATCCTTTGTAGGGCTGTAATCAACTATTCTTAGGAAGCATCATAATATTTGGAAACCAAAGATTTGAATTCTGATTTGAATTCTGGATTCCGATTATAGAAAAATGAAGGTGGGGGCTGGTTGTGTCTTGTCTGAAACCTCAGTCCCATTTTAACCGTCACGCTGGGAACACACAGTCTATGTAAAGGTTATAAGTAGCTCTGAGGTTAGCTGGGGAGGCCGTAGTGCTTCTCCCGGATCCGATGAAAAATCTGTTAATATCCTTGATGCTCTATTGTTTCACGTAATAATAATTTAGGTAAAGGATGGCATGCTTAAAATGGATGTGTATTTCTATATCAGCATCTCAAATACCAACAGTGTAAATATAAGCTCTTCATTTTTAATCAAAATATAAATATTTCATTTCATCAATAGTATGAAGAAAACCCAGCGAGATCTTGAAGTTAATGCCAATGATGCTTATTTTCTTGCAGCTTATGAACTTTGGTTTAAGCAGATTCTATGGGAAATGGACTCTGTTCGGGTGATCTTCGAAAATGGCCATGTAAGTTAAGAACAAATACACTTTGGGGGAAAATGCAGCCCTTTCTCCTTCCTCCTGCCTCATGGCCTGATGTATTTGGGCTTTACTAAATTAACATGCACATGTGTCTATAAAACAACAACAGCACACACGCACAAAAAAACCCTCAAAAAACAAACCTGGAATTCTGCTGAGGAGTTCCTAGGTCATGACAGTACAGAGATTTGATGTGCAAAATGCCATTTCCTCCTGCCTTTTGCCTTTTAGCTATGTCACTCTCCAGAACCAAGTTCACGGGCCAAAATGCTCTACCCTCTCCTGTTAGCATGGGGTAGTTTTGCAGACTCTCATTTCAGAATATTCGGCATGCTCAGAGGCAACACTGAGAAGAAGGCTAGTGCATGTCTTTGTGTTGAAATGTCACTTCTGGCTTTTTTCAAATATTTGCAAGCTGCATACTGTTGACTGCAGTGGCAACCCCTTCCATCCAGTATCTAATAGGTGAAAGGAAAACTCTTTTCAGGAATTGCATGTAATTAAATGAAGCATAACACCAATAATCAAAATGACCATGTATGATTGTGTGAGAATTTCTGAAAAATGACAAGTATAATATTCATTTTGTTATATATATAAATAAATAGCTCAAAAATAATATGTAACGTCTCTAAACATTTGCCCAAAGCTAAATACATTTTGTAACTATAAATAATGTAAACAAACACCTGATTTTATGCTATATCAAAGAAAGATGGCTGTCTGCATGTAATTTGAAATATGCATTGTGTTGAATAACATCCTGAATGTGCGTGTGATGTGAGGAAAATTTGAGAGAACACAGAAAATAAGGAGCCTTTCTACTAAAATGTTCAAAGAAAATGCTTTTGTTCTCCTCAACATTCACAATTTTGTTGGCTTTCTAGTGCAACATGATAGCCAAGTCAGAATTAGTTCTTAGGTAGGATAATTTTTCATTTATTTCTGTGATAAATTAAACCTATTTTTTGATTGGAATTCGAAATGTTAAAGTTAAGAATATATTAAGATGATTGGGTAAATGGTTTTCATCCTTCAATTTGTAGTTTGATATTTTTTGGTTGCATGCCCCAAAAAAAATGATCCCATCAAAATTAGTAGGAGTTTTATCAGCCTTTTCTGGAGGCCAAGTGTTCAACCTACCCTTAAGACAGCTGCCTTATTTTCCATTTGATCTTTTTTGTTTCCCACCAGATGCAACTTTCTCTGTTTTTCTCTGCTTGCAAATGAGCTTTATAGATGCTCCTGGGATCTCCTAGGGTATCTCCCAGGTTATTCAGCTTCTCGACTCTTTCTCCAGCTGTCTCTTGACTCATTCTTTCATTGATTACAATAGAAATGATTTTTGGCTGAGTATTTGATTTCTTATGACGACATCTATCTCAGTCAGAAATGCAACAACGACAGAAAATCCTCCCACATATTTGGCCCAGTTATGAGGTATTAGCAATGACAAAATCAGATTTTGGTCTTTTGAAATTTATAGTTTCATTTTTTGGTTAAAAATAGGGTTCTGTCTTCAACATGAGATTTTCATGTGGTAACTATAGCAATGTGCAACTTCAAAAAGACCTTAAGTAGGCAAAATGCAGGCTCTTTACAGAACCCTTTTCCACCTGGTGTGATCCTTGTGTCTTCCTAAGGTGAGAGATGAGCGGAACATGCTGAAGGTTGTTACTCGAATGCACAGGATTTCCATGATTCTCAAACTACTTGTGGAACAGTTCTCTGTTTTGGAGACCATGACTGCACTGGACTTCTTTGATTTCAGGTAGATACTTCCCAGCTCTCCACGGGGATCTGTGGGTGAGTGTCACCCCTAGGGTGGCTGTGCAGCCAGGGCAGGACTTGCGCGTGCCCGGGCAGTGCGAAACACCTGATCGTGCAGCGAGGATGAGCGCGAGCTCCAAAGAGAGCCCTGGCGTTAGAGCGCAAGTCCGAGCTTTGGTGCGAGCCCAGCGGGCTCTGCAACGATGTGCAGGTTATTTTTTGATATTTAGGCTTGACGCTTTGAAAACAGATTAATTAAATTAATGGCAGAAATGGTAAAAAAACATTGTATTCTGCTTGAGTCTCCAATCTGCCTGATTCCTCACTTAAATGCCATCCAGCACCCCATCCATTTCTACATTGTTTAAATGCATTTTTTTGGCTTTTTTAATAGTCCCTAACTTAGAAGCACATGAAACATGATTTTGATTCCATTTGAATTTTGAGACCTGTGCCCTTCTGCCCTGCAGATAACATTCTGATACTCAATTAAAAGATCAAATCAATGATTCGTTCTCACCAAATCTTGTATCTTCAGTCTAAAACATATTGCAGTTGTCTAACAATGTGGGTTTTCAGGTTACTTTATTAAACAATTCTTCCTATATGAACAACCTAACATAAGTCTGAAACAAGCCCGTTATTAATCCCTCAAATAAAACCCACTAATGGTTTTTATGGACTTGATTCTATTTCACAGAAGATAGTTATTCTTAAGTGTATTAAGTCTATTTAAAATGCATTTAATTACATTTTAACGATGTGAAAACCTTCCTAATACCTGCCTGGGGGGAAGATGATTTTCTGTTCGGAAAGGAAATGATACTCGCTCAAGCTTCCTCCTGTACTACGCACAAAATTCCTCTTGAAAACACAGTATAAACATGTGTAGGTGCCTGTGTGCAAACACACACTATACAGCGAGAAAAAAAATATATATCGTGGTTGCATTAAAATAGCTTTTATTGGTATTGTCTTAGTTGCAACCATAGTACAAAAGTTCAGACATGTATTTGGTGTTCTTCAAATGTGAGAGAGATCGTCCTTTTTCTTTTATTAAGAACCAGGAAACCCCCGCCATAGAACAATGGCCTTTTTCTTTTTCTGTCTCTCATTTTCTTTTCCTCCGTTCCCACAGGGAGTACCTCAGCCCAGCCTCGGGTTTCCAGAGCCTGCAGTTCCGCTTGCTGGAGAACAAGATCGGCGTCCCGCAGAGCCTGCGCGTGCCCTACAACCGGCGGCACTACCGGGACAGCTTCAAGGGGCAGGACTACGAGCAGCTGCTGCGCTCGGAGCAGGAGCCAACGCTGCTGCAGCTCGTGGAGGTAACGGGCTCCTCTTGCGCCTCGCCTTCCTCGCTCCAGGAAGGAGGGTGTTCCTCAGTGCGCTCAGGGAGGAACTTTTCCCTTGGAACTTCCCCTGGAACTTCCAAGTTCCCTTGATGAGCTGCCGATTGCCCTATCAATCCACAACTGGATTTGTAGCAAATTTAACATGAAAGGGAGTCAGCCATCAAAAACCAACAGCACTGCTGACTTCTCATGACATCTCCTCTTGTCTGAAGGGAAAAGCCTCACTGGGTTTTCAATTGGTAAATTGTATTCTGGGCGTCTAAGATGTCTGCGAATATCTGGGTGCTGCTTCATCTCCTTTGTTTTTCATGGCCTTAAGCTCTATTTTGGAATATAACAAAAGTTTTATTTCCCCTGGTAGTGACGCTTACAGTTATTAGACAAGACCATCAAAGAAAAGCAAAATATCTTAACCAAGAAAGGAAAGAAGAAAGAGATGTTTATCTTACGTTTCATGATCACTTACCTTGATTTTAGTCTTTTTTCAAACTCATGAGTAACTCAGAGTAACTTGTCTAACAGCTCCCCTGTCATTTTCATAATTAAATTTATGCAACTTTCTAAAGAATAAGCCTCAACAGCATCCATTTATTCTCTATTCATTCCCCTAATGACAGCTCTTATAGAACATATATGAGGTTTATGCAACTTTTCTTCCCATATGAAGACTTGGTGATCTTGAGGTTTCTTTCAGATGAGAAGGAGCTAAATCAAATGATGCCTAAAGAAGATCTAATCAGAAAATTTTCTATTTTTTTTCTTCCTAATTTCATTCCTATTACTGTAAAGAAATCAGAGCAGAAGCTCTCATTACTGCTAAGTAAATATGTTTTGCTTTATCAACTTCTTACATTCTGAGGTAAGTTAATGACGGTGTGCCTGATCAGTGTTCGCTCCTTCTGACATAACAGAAACTAGCTGTTCCATTGGGTTGTTCTTTATCTTTCTCATGAGTCTTATCTTTACATTCATCCTATTTATGGGGGATGAGATTGTCTTCCTGTATTAATAAACTTAAAAGGGAATTGGTTTAAAAAAACGCGGTTAGAATGAGACAATTTCTGTCTTCCAACACCTTTGATTTAGGAATTATTCGGAATCTCTGGATTATAGCTTATTATATAGGTATAAATCTTGCATGTGGACACACTTCTTAGAGTATCTCTGCAGGAAATTACACTGGAACAACACCAGTAATATAATTGTGTTCCTTTAACTTGTAATTCTTTGGTAATTTATTTACATTATTAATATTGGAATACATTATTGTTGTCATTAAAGGCATGGCTGGAAAGAACACCAGGACTTGAAGCAGAAGGATTTGATTTCTGGGGACAGTTTGAAGTGAATGTTTTGAGAGGTCTGGAAGAGGAATTTGCCCTGGTGCAGGTATGCAATGCACTCCTGATCTAACTGTAAGCAGAGCGCTGGCAAGATCGCATCCTGAAATTTAGTTTTAGACCACTACACTTCAGCAGCCTCTGTTTGCAAGAGGCATGAAAAAAATGCACATTTTTTCCAGGAAATCCGATTAAGTTCTTAATTTGACATCTAAAAATGCTTAAAGCATATATGGATTTTAATTGCAAAAAGAAAAGAGATAGTATCAGTGGAAGGATGAGAACTGAATTTACAGAAACAATAACTTTGAGTGCCTGCATTTACAATTCTGAGTAAGCTCCACAAGTTTGAGTCCTTACGGATGATGGAAAGTCATGCAGCTTCATGCTTGTTTTTATATAATGATATGTGACAATCTGCTGCTGAGAGATCCTTTGAATTACATGGGCAAATGAGCATACTAAAAAAACACTTCATTTTTAGAAGCAAATGAATTAGCTGTCCCAGAATATTATAAGGCATGTAGGTTGAACTGCATGTTTTAATAAAGAAGGAAAAAAAAAAAGAGAAAAAAGAAAAAAAAGCATAAAGCAAGAACTAATCAAGTTCTTGAGAACGCCTGCTTACCACTTCCCAATTCTTCCACCTACTTGCATTTTGTTCTTTTCTGCACAAGGGGTGTTTCTTTTGCCTTAAAAATTAAGAAATAAAATAACTAGATTTCAAACAAATGAATATTAGATTTTTCTATTGCCTACAGACCTAAAGTTATATGTTGCACCTTTCCTTTTTGAGTATTCATTTATCCAAATTGTATAGTAGCTATTGTAAATTTTTTTGTACATTTTGTCATAATTCTTTTGCCAAGATGACTCATGTCTTTGCCATGAGATGACTCATCTGCCTTATTGGAATATACAGCCCTTACATTTAAGGTATGAGCTTACAAAGTATTGCTGATAGAAATAAAAATCACATCATGGATCATTCAAGAGCTTAATTTTGCCCTGCTGAATTCTAAAAAAAATACTTTTACTTTAAATATCAAAGGCCAAACCAGAATCAGAAGAAAAAGATGACCTATTATTGGAACTCCAAAAACAGAAAGATGTACTTCTTTCGTTATTTGATGAAAAACGCCATGAACACCTTCTTAGTAAAGGTAGAATATATTAATACATTGATGAATTTTTTTTTTGTATTTTATATGACACAGATGTAATTATCAACTATTATCATTAACTTTGCAGAAAAATGTCAGCAAACTAAAGCCAGCTGTGTTTTGCAGGAGAAAGAAGACTGTCTTATAAAGCACTGAAGGGTGCCCTAATGATCTACTTCTACAGGTAACGTCACAAGATGCACCTTGAGGGGTTAGCGGGAGCAGGAGAAGTGAAGGTTGGGGACACGGTCATGGACTGGTTCAGGTTGGACGGGGCCTTGGAGAGCGCCCTGTTCTAGCCGTCTGCTCCAGCCAGGCCATGGCTTAGCTCCAAGCCAGCTGAGGCTGCTCGGGGCAGCCAAAGGAGAAGGATCTGCCTGGGTTGAGGTCCCTCAGCCTCCCTAGGAGGCCACTTCCGGTGCTTGGCCCCATGTTGTGTCCCGGATCGAGCAAATGTTTTGTGCCAGCTGCACTGCAGTGTCCTACAAAGGTTTGGAGTATGTTTCCAAGGATGAGATTGAGGCTTGCATGGCAGAAGCTGTTATTGGACTATCTCCTGGTACCCTACTACCAATTTGGGAAAACATACACAAGTCAGCGCTATGCATTGCTGAAGTGATAACTTTGCAAAATATAGTGTGTCCTTTACATAGAGATGTCTTTTCTTCTCTTTGCTTTTCCAAGAGAAGAGCCTCGTTTCCAGGTTCCCTTTCAGCTTCTTACCTCTCTCATGGATATTGACGTGCTCATGACCAAATGGAGGTGTAAGTTTCTCACTTTTACTGTGATATTCTGTCTTTAGCATCCAGGGTGTTATTTCACCCTTTCTTGCACTGTTTATGCCCAGACTTTTAGAACTTCTGAGTTTATTCTTTTGAAGCATTTTTTTGGTATGCTGGTGAAAAGATGAACACCTTTCTTTGTGGGTTAATAAGTATTATTTTCCAGCGTCCCCTCCCGACATTCATGACTATGATGTTGTCATATGCAAACATTCCTTCTGTTCCTTCCTGACCTAGACAAGCACAAATGACTGCACTAACGTGGTGTTACCAGATTATAATCATGCACAACAGTGTATGCTATCTGTACTAGGCAGAATTAATCATTCTGTATCAACTGACTGAAAAGTGGCAGAATCAATTCTTGCTTTGCTGGAGATGGTTCCCGTCAGTGGCGGTATTTGCACGGTATTTGCTGGCCTGCCCTCGCCGTGGCGCAGCCCCAGGCACGTCCCTGCTGTGTTCTAGATAACCACGTGTGCATGGTGCACAGGATGATCGGCAGCAAGGCCGGCACGGGCGGCTCCTCCGGCTACCACTACCTGCGCTCCACGGTGAGGTAAGGCTGGTCCTGCCTCGTGCAGGAGCGGTTCCTGCAGCCCGCCTTCGGACAAGGGCCGAACTCCAAGGAGCTCCTGGAGAAGGATCCTGGGGGCTCTGAGCTGAGGGCCTTCCTAGGCTACCGAGCAGCTCTAATTGGTCTGATTCTCGTTTTTCAGCGACAGATACAAGGTGTTCGTGGATCTGTTCAATCTTTCAACGTTTCTAGTGCCAAGGCACTGGATACCCAAGATGAACCCAACAATCCATAAATTCCTCTATACAGCAGAATATTGCGACAGCTCCTATTTCAGCAGCGACGACTCGGATTAAAGCGCCTTTCCAGGCCGACTGCTCTAAAGAACTTCAGACCTATTGCAGTGATTGGTGCGCTCTCAAATACAGCAACAGCTCTTGTACAGTGGGGGGGTGTAAATATGTATTTATATATGACAGCTCTGTGAATAGTATAATCAGCTTCCAGCAGAAATTGCTATGAAATGTCTGTTTTGCATTAGGCTATGTTAAGAGATCCCAATTAAACTTACTGGCCAATTTGACTCAGCATTAACTGTTAAAAATTTGTATCTTAAAGCCCTCATTTTGGGAAAGGGAGCAAATCAGACAGAATTACCACTCTCATATTTTATTTGTACATATTTTTTGTATTACCGAGTTTGCCTAAAGGCTGTTACTAAATTTCTTTCCAGATTAGGATATAATTAGTCTTAACAGCTTCATAAAAATACTAGTATATGAGTCCTAGTGAATTTTCAAAAAGAAATTTGAAGTAAGATTTAAAAAAGCAAGATTTTAGAAAAATCTTAAGTCCTGAATCTATGGAAACTGAAATCTTCATATATATATATATACGTTATATATATACATATATTATATATTGGAGATATTTTTTTCTGTGTGTGGTTACGCATAAATAGAATTGTCATTAAAAATACTTATTAAGAATAACTCAAGTACGTCATTTTACATTTCAAATAAAGTAGTATTAAAGATTTTTGTTGTCATCTTTTAAAGCAAGAATAATATCCAAACAGCCATATGACAAACATTAGAAGTTTTTAATTCAAAATATCATTATAGTAAGGACACAAATAGACAAAACTGAGCCAAATTTGACCAGTAAGTGTTGATAGAGCTGGGTCTGCCTCTCATTAGATGGGTTCTTGTCTTTCTAAATATTTTTCTTAAAAATACCTGAAATTAACCCATACAGAGCATGGGCGAGTTGTTCTGTATCTTAGTGTAACTACTTACGCCTGCTTAGTATACCTCAAAAATTGTAAATATGTAGAACTTCCTTTATAGCTTTATATACTTTTTTATAACCTTAGCTATTGTTTTCTAATTAAAGTAGGCTACTCGGTCTGTGAAGTGTTAAGGGAAGATCATATTAGAAAATATGGATATCTACTTCCCATTTTGGCAATCTGAGGTTTTCTGCCGATAAAATTTCAGTGAGAGGCTGAACTACAACTATTACAACTACGTCACAAATGGTCATTCTCCCCTTCAAACTCCCAACAGGGAGAGCTGAAAGGGCTAAAAAATGACCACACTTACACTGAAGATTTCTGAATATTCCTTGCATTTGCCATAAGACAATTATACACAGAGCTATTAACATAGTCACAAGTGAGTGCAAAAATTACAAAATTGCTTCAATACTTTTCCTAAGTTTTTCCTAAAATACAGAAGGCCTTCTAGCTGAACATTTCACAGCATTGCGGAATTGCATGTTTACCTCTGAATTCTACTGCATTTTTACAGATCACCAAACCTGGAACCCTTTTTGTTTCCCAAGCAGTCCCAATCCCTCCAATTGATACAGGGTCAAGAATAAACAGTTTAATTGGGAAATTCAGCCTTTACTCTCTATGGAGTATCTTCTGACTCTGGCCTTTTTAAAGGTAGCAACCACATATTAACAGCTCCTTTCCTCCTCCTGCCCTAAAACTTTTTCTATAATAAATACATTTCTGACTTGGCCCTTTGCAATTGGCTGCAGCATCAGCATGAAGTAGAGAAGAGAGAAAGCAGGGAGCTGACAAAGCTCTCGGAGCCCAGATCAGCTGGCCTCAGTCCCACCTCGGCTGGCCTCAATCCAGCCTCCTGAAGAGTTGCTGCTTGCTTTTCTATGCATCCAAAAACCCTGTTTAGAAACCTCGGCCAGCGCTTCCCTGCTCTGAGAGCACACAACAACTTATATTTACTGAAGAAAGGTCAAAGACTGAAACGGAAGAACAGCAGCAATATGGACATGGGTTGCTCTGGAAACAGCTTTATGACCCTACAGCTCCCTTTTTTATTCTTCTACTTCTGGAAAGGAGAAAAAAAAATAGGGTTCTACAAAAAGGAGGACAAAATGCATGTGGCTGAAGCTCCAGAAAAGCCCAGACAGACGTCAAGCCTAACAGAATATTTTCTTCTGACCTCTCCTTCTCCCCACAATAAGAACAGGCTTAATCATGGTTCTTCTCCCATTCAAAGCATTTCAGGTAGCCTCTGTCATACAGCTGATTTCTTGCTTCAGAATCCTTCTCATTTGTCATCACTACATTCCTCGTTAGAAGACCTCTGGAGTGAATTTTCTAGTGTTCAATACCTTGAAGAGGGAGTTTAAATTTACAGTTTCCGTCCATTTTTATAACTTTTTTTTTTCCTCACTTTGCAGTCAACACACAGTCCTCTCCTTCCGGCAAGATCTGATATGCAACACACATTTGAAATGAAAATATTTTTTAAAAACCTGGTCAAGCCCTGTCTGCCCAAAAGAGGACATTCCTGGTGCAGTAGTTGAAGTTAGGAAATGTTGCTTTGAAGTAAAGTCTCCACATGCAGTAAACACCAAACTATTAACCAAGTAATAATTGTGTGCTTCAGCCAGTAAACGTCAAACAAACACTGATGAAACTGTATCCGCTATACCTAAAATGAAAGAAATATTTTTGAATAAGTACTGAAATCAGAACTGCATTAAACAAGACTTGACAGAATTTGTATCCTCTGCCCATGACGATGAGTGAACTGCAAGGGGAAAGAGAAATTCAGCAGCCCTTTTATTTCTCTATTGACTAACATTCTTTATAGTTGAGCCCTACTCACCTCCCTCCTCTGCTCTCATGTTCATAATTTTAGGTATTGAGAAGTCAGCATTACAATATGGCTGCTGAATCTAAAGCTTAAAATTGTCTTTTTAAACCAGATGCACCACCACATTCAGGTTGCTCGTGGTAGACTAACATGCAACATGAAACTATGAAGCTTTGTAAGATCACCAAGAGACTACAGAAGAGTTTCTTTTACAGGAGACATTTTTAAACACTTCACACACACACACACAGAGGCCCAGAGCAACTCTGCTTTTACTCGTGCTCAGTTGGAGCCTTTTTGGATTGCTGTACTCCTTTAAGTACTAAGGGCAAAGCCTCCCTGGAGCCTGTGAAGGTATCAAAGGGCGACAGATGTTAACTTACAGCTTTACAGCTCTCAACCTCAACAGCAACATCAGAGCACTCCTAAAAGGGAAAACATCACCTAGCAAAGGTGAGTAGCTGCTGATCTTGACTGGCTGCTCCTGTGTAGCACATGGCAGAAAAAGGGTATTATCCTGCTTTATCAGCTCTCTATTTTGAAAATAATGAAGCTGTTCTTCCTGACCACCACTGCAGCTGACTTGCTTTAATCACCATTACTGGTGAATCACTGTTTCAAAATAGTTTGTTTATACAACCATAAATGTGAATCAACGTTTCAGCGACATCGAACAGCTACGATTTGCCTGTATTGGCTCTATTTGTGCTGTCCTGAACTTAACTCGTAGCAAACTGGCTACAAACTCAATATCATCTATTTTTATTTGAAGCTGATTTCCATCATCTTACACCTTTTACAATGGCTCTCAAAGGTACTGTGAAACACACAAAAGCTGTAGACCTTTCTCATGGAAGGTAAAGCCAAGGAAAGACCTACAGCATTTGCCTAAGAGAAGAATTTAAAGGCTGCACAATGCTTACGGCCTAGCAGTCCAAGGACAGCAATTAGGCTTAGCAGCCCCTGCTTGTGAACACGGGCTTTACTTTCCCGGGTTCTATATCCAGCAATTCTGCAGAAACTGACTTGTTAAGTATTGTTATGCTTTATGCAACCCTACCTTTTGTAGAATGTTTTATGATCATTCTATATGGCATGGTTCAACGAGGAAATGATTTATTTTTCTACCTGGCCTCATCTAATCTTCTTTTAAAATACAGATGTAATACAGGAGTGACTTCTATTTTCTCTCTGAGCCCCCCCCCACACTCTCATACTGCTTTGCTTATACAGAGTAACCCCCAGCACATGGCCTTTAGTGCTCACATTTTTTGTCACTTACCACACACGTTGTTGCCTAGCTTAACTCGAACATAACCATCTATTCCCCATGCTCGCCCCCACGAGTTCTGCACAATCCAGTAGGGGATGCTACCTAGAAAAAAAACATTTTCATAAAACAAGAGCCAACATGAGATTTGAGAGGCATAAAAAGCTTGTAACACCATTCTAATGTCTCATGGCTTTTACTGGTTTGATGACAGAGTACAAGGAAATTTATTACTATCCACACAGAGGACGGAGCTAATATTTCAGTGCTAATAGACTTGAAACACCTGGGTCTTTACGAGGGTCACGAAGCCCCACAAAGCTACAGGAGGATGGAGAGAAGAGCTTCACTCTGGGGACTGGCCTGCACTTTCAGAACTGAGGTGGAGAACATCCAGTCTAAGCGATGTGCATTTCATCACATGCAGCACAGGAGGCAAGCTGCAAGGAAGAAAGCAAACCCACAGCCTGCCGGATGGAGGTTGGGTCGCTCGAAACTCACCTGTTCTGTCAAAACCAGTGATGAGCACGGCATGATTTGCCTTCCCACTGGAGCAGTGATACTGAATGATTCCCCCAAGGTAATCCTGCCAGCTCACTGCATCCACCGTCACCGCCAAGGGGCCCCTCTCCAGCAGCAGCCGCAGCATCTCCTCCTCCTGGCCGCTGCGCGGGGTGTGGGATAGGGCAAGGTTACTTCGGCCAGCACCACAAAGCTACTGGAGAGGTGGCGCTTGCTCAGCGCAAATGATTTAAGAAACAAGTAATTCAACCCTTTCCTGAAAGTTCTATGCACCATGCAGTCAATAGATAGCTCTTTTATGCACCACAATTTATCAAAATAGCATTAGGGCACACAACCTAAGCAAAAAGGTGCAGGTCCATAGATACAACTCTATTAAAATGAAGCAGGCTTCTGGGCTCAGTCCTGAGGCAACAACAAACCACAGCTACGTTTTAGATCTCAGTTAATAAAAAAAAAAGCTTTTGACAAGTGATTTTTCTATAGCATTTCCCATCTTTTTTCAGAGAAGTAACTTTAATACACAATAATACACTGAATTACGTACCCCAACATATTTAAAAATACAGGCTATACAACAGAAAAAAATGCTACTATTAATCTTTTACCATTAGTATCCTTGTATAGTAACATAAAGGAACAGGAAATTTCTGTCATTGCATGGTATCTGGAAAATGTAAATTTGGCATATACACAATGGCAATGCTATAATTGATTTTAGTCATTTCTATCCAACAGTAATTCACATCCTTGTTAAAATTACAGCTCAGCTTGCAGTTTAGCATGAAGCTATATTGTACTGATAAAAATTAGAAAAAAAGTCATATTCAATACAAAATCCTAAAAGGCTGGAAGTTGTCTTTACGAAATTCAGTTTATAACACTGTTTCCCAAGGAAACCCTCTTCAAGAGGGTGGCGTTATGCAAGCAGTTAAATGCTTAAATAACTGAACACTTGCCAAGTTTTTCAACAAATTCAGCATGTAGCCAAATTCTAGCCTTTTGCTCCTTGGGGCTTTTAAGTACATCCTAATAATTTTTTTGAGAAGCATATGTCGTCGTTAAAAGTTGTCCAGCATATCTACATGGGGCCACACAGGCAGAGATAACCACGGCTGAGAAGAGCTGCCCGCACGATTGACTCGATTCACTGCAGCAAGGCACAATATCAGAATGTAACCCATTAGTTCTTCTCCAGTACATAGCTACAGGACTGCAGCAGCAGTAACTTCTCAACCTTTGGCTGGTCAACGCACTATAGGCTCTGGCTGGCCCCACAGCTAGTGGGCACAGAAGGACAGCAAATAAAAAGAATCAATAATAGTTACCTGAAGTCATACGCAGCAAATCCTGTTATTGAAACTCCAAAATCCGAGCGATGAAAATAATGGCACAATCCTGTCTGAGCTTTAAAACTGTATTCTGAATCTCTCACCAGCTTTACTTTAGTCTGCAAGAAGGCAAATGAATGAGCATTTAATGCGTCTGGCTTTAGCATTACGCAGACTGAAACAGGCTTTGAAGTCAGCCACAAAGCTCATGCAAAATTCAGTGTGTTCCTAGGGAGATTAGCAATAAGAACAATGGGTCTAGAGATAACGTCTCCAGCTTCCCCGATTTGCTTACAAAGTTACAGAAAGGACTCAAAATTGTTAAATAAATGAATAAATAAATAAAGGAGGTATTGCTGGTTTAAACTACTCTCAAGATGATCTCCTAGCATTATAAAATTTAAAGTGACAGAGGCTATGAATTCATTTTATGAATGGCATTTTATGAATGGTCATTCATTCTCTCCAAATGATGCTCCCCACAAAGTTATCCTCTCCTCCAGACAGATCAAGAACTGCAAAAATGCCAAGAACTACTACATAAAAAGTTAAATCCGCTTCTGCTATAAAGGTCGAATGCTCATAACAGTATCAGGAGGGTGCCAAGGTCCAGCTGCTAAGTTATTTTATCAACCTTCTCTGCAACCTTTCTTGCCATGTGCAGCGCTCCCTCTGGCTAAGCCATCATAGCCCTGGTTCTGCCCAGCAAGTCTGCTTGGGAACTCTGCTTTGGAGGAACGGAGATGAACATGCTCCTTTTGGAATGAAAAACTAAACCTAGACTGTTCCTAACTGGGGTTACAAGATTCTTCAGGGATAGAACTACGGAGTTCTTTAAAAAGGACAATAGGCTATTTAAAAAATTAAAATAAAATAAAAATGTAGGGGATTCTTTTTACTCTTATGACTCAAACTGTCTCCCTAAGTAATATTTTTTATCTCAGAAGATATTTATGACTCAAACTGTCTCCCTAAGTAATAATATTTTTTATCTCAGAAGATATTAAATACTCATGGTTAGATGCATTATTTATACATATTTTGCCTTTTTAGAATGGAAAGTATTAGAAACTACAGTAGGATTTATTTTTGAAACTATGTCTGCATTTTGATTGTTTCAGATCCCAAATGAAAAAAAGACAAATCAATTTTATTTTGAGGTTTCTCATCAGATCCCAAATGAAAAAAAGACAAATGAAATCAATTTTATTTTGAGGTTTCTCGAGCTCCTGCAGAACACAGTCACTCTGGTTCCAGACAAAAAAAAAGGAAGTACAAAGATATATTTCAAATCAGATGTGCTCTAAAGTGTACAGTTAAAAGGAAGGGAAGGGCTCAACGTTTATGAAAAGTGTCAAACCTGGTTCAGCCAGCTCAGAGCACTAACAGTGGATCCACCGCTGCAGCCGTAATTATTGTACGAGCAGTCGATAACCTGCTGTACACTGAGTTCTTCAAGGTTGTTTCCTTTAATTGCATAGGCAGCCTCTATACCACCCACAACACTGAAAGCCCAGCAGCCTCCGCACTGGTGCAGAGAAAAGGAGAAAGGGGAGAGATGATAAGTCAGTTTTGGTTTTGAAACATGGTATTAAGAAGACAAAAAGTCAAAAAGGTCCTCTAATGCTCTTTATTTGCTACCTCATACTTGAGCTTTGTTTCTAAGGCAATAATTAAGAAATTGAATCAGTCTTTTAAAACACTGATCTATTTTTCCCCCCTACAGAGAAGAAACTTTGTGGAAAGTTCCTGCTTTGCAAAAACTAGAAATGCATGGATGCCTTATTTTAAGGCTTATGGATGTCTTATTTTAAGGCTTCCTTCCTGACTCACTTTTTACTGTAATAAAAACGTCTCTTGAAGTTCAGACTGATGAAGGTTTTTACTGATTATGGTTTTCATTGTGAGAAATGCATTTTCTTAAGGCAAGACTGAGACTGAGATTGAAAGCACTTTGTAACCACAATTTTCAACATCTTGGAAAGAACACACTTAAGGAAACACATTACAATTTTCAACAGTTTGAAGAATTTAATAGAAAAGTGTTATCACTTGAGAAGCAAAAACATGAAATTAAATATAACAGATTCAAACAACAGAGAGCTTTTCTATGCTGGACTTCTCAGATCTTTAAATCGGGGCATTTAACAAAGAAAGGGGAGTTTACTCCTATGAAGATAAGCAGCACAAAGGAAGGACATCAGCGATCAACAGCCCACCTGTTTCTTACCCTACAGAAGCAGCCACGCTCACACACACAACCTCAGCACACAGTGACTCCTACACCGGGTGCTCCTGAGGGTAACCTCCCTCTGTGCAAAATGCAGGTCGCTTTGTACACGCTCCAGCCACAGCCGTGCCATTGCTCCAGGGCATCCCGAGACTGTCCCGGCACCTTCCCAACCCTCCATCCTGCTTCACAACCAACCTGCTAGACCTGGCTCTGAGCAGTGCTGGGAACAGGAACGCAAACCCTCAGCACTTACTGTTTGCTGATTTCTCACTTCTGCAATGACTTTCTTGTCCCTCCAGTCAAACTTCTTTGGCAAAGGTTTTTCCTTCCCCTTTGGCACTTTTATGTATCTGGGAAGTTTGTGAGGTATGCTTCTTAAGTAAATAGCTAAACACAGAATACAGACATCTATAAATCTACTAACTTAAAAAATCAACAATACTTATTATAAGTCAGTAAGGTAACTTTGATCCGTAGGTAGAATCATGAGATTACCTTATACATTTAAGGATTAGATGTAACTCATGTATTTTAAAATAATAATCATACTCTATAATGACTTGAAATAATCCTATGGTAATAGAACAGAGAAATTCTATATATGAAATGTGAGTATAGGCTGTTAAGACATCTTAGAACTGATCAGAAATCCATACCTACCACATAAAGTAAGTTTTGTTTGGAATTATTTAAATAGCCTGAAATAAAATTTGTTAAGTTTTTTTTTTTTTTTTTTTTAACTAGAGAATGCTGTTTAATTATTTTAAAGAAAAAAAAATAGTGTGGAACCTCCAAGATGAATAAACAGGGCATGTAACAATAAACTTGAATTGCAAGCAAGAAAAGTAAGTTTAGGTATCACGGGTTTTTGGGTTTTTTTTAAGCAAAGACAGCGATGTTTGGCAGATTGCTCCCGAAGGCCAGGGCCATCATTGCACAGCTTTAGATCTCCAAGAATCTCTTGTGTTGTAGCTAGGCTTCTCTTGGGAAACGCAAAATGAACAAAATTACGGAGTACTTTCCATCTCTAAAACTGTTGCAATGAAAGAAAGCTTTAAGGTCCAGTGAGAAGAACAAATAGTTTGATTGCTAAGTAAAACTCAGTTTCTGGGAAATTCAGCCTCACAAGACCAGCAGAAAATGAAAGGAAGATTTTGCATCCCTCAGAAGTCCTCGCAGTCTGGTATGCAACATGGTGAATTAGCTGTTTACTAGCACTGGAAGAATCTACAAGTGTGACAGATTCTGCAACAGAGTAACGGAAAGGACAGAAAGAGATTAGTAGCAGCTGAAATATATACCTTTGAACTCTTCAGGAAACAGGTGAGAAAACTGATTTATTCCATAGAAAGCAGATTCATTATCATTTGACGATGCATTCATTAGTCTAATTCTTTTAGCACTTTCCTGAAGGAAAAGAAAACATTATGGACAGGATTAAGTTAGCAGCAGTGACAGAACAGGAAAAATACATGGTTACCAACAGCTCATGAGCTTATATGTTAGCCATTCCTAGATTCACCCCAAATTCACCCTGGATTTCCCAGCACACAAATATTAAAATCATTAGCCTAACTTCAAGAGAGGTGCTGAAATAAAAACATTTATTTGTAAGGGCACAGAAAGCAAGAAATCGCTACAAAACAGACAAAATGAGTCAAGAACAAGTTGTGTCAAACTCATGCCCTTCTTTGTCAGCATAACAAGCCTTGGGGCTCACAGATATGGGGAAAATATATCTTGACTTTAGGTAAGAGTTATGTTGCTGAAAAGCGACAGAGCAGAGTACGGAAGAGAACAGCATAGGCGCCTGATGACTTGCAAAGCTTCCTCTTTCACCAGCCCCATGCCAAATTCCCGTCTGCCCAAGGCGGACACCTCTGAGACGTGGGAAGAAGGAGGCGGCGAGGAAAAGGAAAAAGAAACCAGAGCCGCAGCCCCCGCAGCCCTGGGGACCCCTTCCCTCCTGCTCCCCTGCCCGCGCGGGG